CAGCATCTATGAAGAAGTTCATTTCACTGCCTGCAAACTGAAGGTGAAATGTCTAGCATTTTTCACAAGCTTTCTTATGATACTGCAGGATGACTTTGAAAAATTTTTTTTTGTATTCTTGCTGATATTTGGAAGATACGCTTAAGTTGTTCAAGGTTCACCCTATTGTTAATTTCATAATTTGAGCAACTGCATGTAAATGACTTTCAAAACGTCTATACATCCCGTGTCGGTGTGCGGAGGAACAAAGCAAAAAAAAAATTTCGGTCATTACATTTATACTCTCCAATAGTATGAATATTATTTTGAAAACTCGCCCAAACTAATTTCTTAGTGTGCTTGGGGAAATATTGTGAAGAGCCGTTTAACCCCAAATTCCAAAGTCCTCCAATTTACTCTACGTCCGTTTTCTGCATGAAAAACACTTCGGAAATAAAAACATGCAAAATAATGACCCCCTGTCGTTGTCAGTCAACATCATAGTTCTCTACTGAAGAGACATCAAGAATCCGTTGTTTTTGAACACTCTAGCCAAATGACATAACCCCAAATGGCTCGTGGCAGTTCTCCACGTTTAAAAGACTATATTCACAAAGAGCACTTTGCCCGCCAATTCTCCCTCGGGTTTAGCACTTTTTAAATGTTTCACCCCAACCCGGAAAATGCACTTCCCAGGTGTTACCAGAAGTGCATTACGACATTGTAGTTGCGATAATCCAGGACGCAGTGCGATTGATGTATATGTGTCGGAATATTTTACGAGGGCCATGGCGAATACTTTCAGAGAGGATCTCGGGGGAGAGAATCTAAAGGGGGGATTCTGCACAGTCCCTTAGGACCATGTGATTTTAGTCGTACAATCTTCCTATAGGGACACATTTATCACATTTTACATCATTATAACGTTTCCTTCAGCTGACAACAGAAGACACCGAAACGCCAGCGTTGTAATAACTGTCCAAAAACTGCTACCTCTTTCCTCTGGAATGTGGAAGGACCGATATACCTCAAGTATTCCCCGTAAATCTTTTCCATGGTCCACTTATCCATTTCCGAACTGAAACTTTTGGAACCAACCCGGAACCCCAATATTTCAGCAAAAAAATTACTTTGCGAACTTAATCTAAATGAAAGTTGATACCATTCTCATATTTGCAATGCACGGGGGAATTAACTTTCGGTGAGTCATAAAGCTTCGTTCTCTGGCCCTATCATGGCACTCGTTTCATCGAGGAAGTGTCTGAAGATTCCTCGAGTGAGACCTCTCGAGTGAGACAATGCCTCGTGCTCTCATTGTTGGCTGTGAGCACTTCGCCTGGGAAGGCATTCAGCAAATTGCTATTCTTATTACCGAAATTTGGACTCATTACGAGAAAATGGGAAGACTTTCTCGGATTTTTTTAACCCAATAAGTATCGCCTCCCGGTCATAAGCATTCGATCGACACCTGTAGTTTTCAAAGAAGACACACCTAAAGAATTAGGAACTCCCAGAACTCAGATGGCGATGGTTCCCGTCATCAAAAACAGTCAATTTCCCTTTTGAAACAATATCGAGTGAGTTCTGTCTGAAGAGACAGGATATTCGGATTTCAAACAATCACGCAAAAAATCAATATTAGGGGATGGGATCGATCGCTAAGAAAACCCCAATCGCCTGTATGCCAACTTTTAGAGTTCCACGCAGTGACCTTAATGTAAAACGCACCGTTCTAACTTTAGAACGTTCGAGTAGAATGGAGGAGGATTTCGAGGATAAAAAAAGAAGAGAATTCGCATCGGACTGTGCCGTCCTCGAAGGAACTGCACCAAGCGTCCGGCGAATCCGAGCCGCAAGTGGCCGTGTGGAGGCGAGAGCCATCGCCGAATCCATTGGGATTCCCGCAGCGGAATCTGACCTTTCCTCCCGGAGGTGCTGGGTCGTTTCCGATCCGCGAGGGATCTTTGGGTGCTCTCGCGGGCACAGCCCTGCATTTCGAGAGAATTTCTCACTCTGCCACCACACTGAAAAAAATAGTCATGTGTTTTGACTCGCATTGAACGCAGGACGTATAGGCGTTGGCTTCCGCGAGGTGGTGAAATGCGTCATAATACGCTTCCTGTGGCAAGCTACAAGAGTCGGTTCGATGGATCCCAACGAAACCTTCTCGTATCTCTGACCTGGGTGCGCCGCATAATGGATGGAATCCATAGAAGCGACGCCGCGCGCGAAGAGAAACCAAGTCATCGCGATCGTTTCGATGAAACTTTACGTTCCTGGAAACGAGTGACCTAGTTACTGATCCTAGGGCGATAAGGGACTGACCGGAAGGCAATCTGGAGCACGATCTATAGACGAAATTCATTGACGTCACTGCAGACGTAAGTGGAGCAAAAGTATGGATTCAAAAAGGTGGATAACTTCTCTCGGTCTCGTCTGTTTGCTTTCTGGTGGAGGGCTTCTGTTCGCGCTGTGTATGCATACGTCAACTGGGTCAAAGTGTGATGGATTGAGTCGCATTCGTTCTATTTTGGACGCTGGGAGGGTTTGCAAGAACTCCAAGGAAAAATGCTGATATACTCTAGTTAATCATATTCATCTTAACATTTTTAGCATTGAACATTCGGTTTCTTCGAAGAATTCCGATTGCATGGAGAATATCAATGTGAATCGTCTTGAATTAAAACCCATGCAATCGTGTTCTGAATCTCGAATGGACACGCTAATAATTTTTCCGGACGAGGGTAGAAACAACGTTGGTGGTCAGGGGAGGAAGCGTTAGTTGGGGCTGACCGGGAGATATATGGCTTGTTGTAGTGTTGGCCGGAAAGTTCTTGCGGTTTCAGACAATATTTGAGAGAAAAAAAATTTTTATTCAGCAACTATGCAATATTAGTCGACAATACAAGCACCATCGCGTTCCACAACGGGTCTCAATCTTCCGGCCTTGGTAGAACGATGAGGACTGTAAGAACTGTCGCAAGTAGCATTCGAGGTCTTCTCGGTCGTCCAGCCTTTTCTCATCGAGCCGGTTCTGCAGGGCGCGGAAGAGGTCGTCGTCCGACGGAGCCAGGTCCGGGGAGTACGGCGGGTGCGGCAGAATCTCCCATCCGAGGGCGTGGAGTTTCAGTCAGGTCATCTTTGCGGTATGCGGCCGGGCATCGACGAGGAGGAACGGCACTTTGTCGCGTCCCTGCCGAGTCCAACAGATTTCTCTGTTTGCTCTCTGGTGTGGGCTCCTGCTCTCACTTTGTAGGCACGCGTCAAGTTGGTCGGCGTATGATGGATTGTTCCGTATTCGTTCTATTCGGGTGCTGTGAGGTTTTGCGGGTCGAGTGGACCCGAAGTGGACCACGAATGGCACATGTGATGCACCAACCATAAGCTCCCGATCGCGTTAGCGCAGATTTTAGCAGAGGATTTAGACGAGAAAAGAAGTTGTCATTTTAATGTCGAGAAAAATTTTCCCCCGAGAGTGATTGAACCACCTTGAATGCTGGACACACGGACTGTTTTTGCTTTCGGGTTTGCACACTGTGCCCGAACTGAAGTGACCCGAGAGAGGGCGAGGATGGATTCCCGGTTGTCTTTTTCTCGCTTTTCGTTCCCTGGAGCGGGTTGCCTTCTCGCTTTTTGGCCTGTTGACGCCGAACTGGGGAAACAATTGCTGAGGTCCAATAGCCATTATATCCATTATATCCTTTATATTTCGACCATTATATGGTCGAAAGGTCGAAAGATATAAAGGATGTAAAGGATATAATAGAAGGAATATGACTGAGTGTCCCAAAAAAAGATTTGGCTTTCCAGTCTCGGTGACATCCCGAGTTCCCACGTATTCCAAACCCTTCTCTGACAGTCGGCATTTTGGATGCACGTTTTCCTTGGTTCCACGTTGAAATTCTCGGAAGTCACAGAAGATGATGTCGCAATATTCATATTTTGGAACTTTCCTCCTCCATTCCCACAGCAGGGAGCGACCGCTTTCCTGGAGTTCCGGCAGAAATTGTGATTTTCTTCCACAAATTTCAGATTTCCAGTCAATTCCAGTTGGAGGGACCGAATGAAATAGATGTATATTCTGAAGAACCTGCACAGAAAGGCTTTCATCTCTGATGCAACATGTTCGCCCTGAAGTGAGTCCACTAAGGGACGTTTAAATGAAAGTGCAAGATAAAAGAAGAGTGTAATGCATGCATGTATAGTACTTGAAATGAATCATGGATTCCCACTTCTTGATATATTTCCATACAAGAGAGACAAGCATACAATCTAAATTAAAAAAAGCATACGATGCAATTCCATCAGGGTAGGACCATCAACTAGCTTCACTAATCATAACAACATTCCACTTATATGTGCGAAGTGCGACCAACTTGCCAATCGCCGAGTCTGCTGAATTTAGTGGCGATGAAACGGATCTGCCGAAGCGACTTAACGAGTTCTTCGGTCGTGGTAGAGACTTACTCTAGAGACGTATGATTTACAGGAGAAATTCAAGGTGACGAGAAGGAAAATAGAATCGAAGGAATGAATCTAAATTTCGAGAATGTGCGGGATAGACGTTTCCGTACCCGATTATTAATCACGCGATGCAAACATTTGAATTCAGAGAGAGAGAGAGAGAGCGAGGAAGCAACGCCTTCCAAGGACGAATATTGTATAAAATATGGAAATAGATCATCTTTCATGCAATCCATCGCCCATGGGACCATGGCTAGCACGGAGAAGATGGCAGCAGTCGACTGCAGTGAACCAGGAGGGAGAAAATGACGGTGCAGAAAAGACCCAGCAAACGATTTGAAATGCGTGACATGGAATCCGAACGGAATGAATTTTCGAGACGTCGAGGCATTGCAAGTCCAACACATTGTTAGCCTTCTTCGATGGGAGTGGGGGGGAGCGGTTACCATTCCAGATTTCCAATTTTCCTTCGATTGCAACTATGTGCGATGAAATGAGTTTTGGTTTTGCTACTGACACTCTACTCGGAAGTGATCTACTTTTTGCGCGAGGCATCAACAGATTGGGATATAACAAATGTCAAAACGAGGATTCGTCCCAGCTCCATTCCAGCACCATGGACCATCTGGGTATTCGGTCGGGTTCCGACAGAAATTGTGAGAAGGGAACAAGTCGTCAGGGAAAGAACTCCCCATGTCATCGTAAAACCACACGTCATTTTGGTTGTTTGGGAACCTGCTCGACCACGGCTGACATGGATATCCCGAAATCGTCACATTTTTTGTTCCCATGTACGTCAGACCTTTCTTGTCTACTTTGCATTCCTTTGGAGCTGGAAGAAAAATATTGTCATGGTGGTGTGCAATGCAATGTTGAAACATGTTCCATGAAGTAATACGGCGGGAAAAACTTTCCACGAAAATGAATATGGTCCAGAAAATAAGACGTTCTCGATACTCACTTATGCATTCACCCGATACTCTGATACTGCATTGCTCTCCATCGCTCTTTGGACAGAAGGGAACATCGCAATACTCCCATGTGGGCCCGTCGACCGATGACGTCGAACACCATGGACCTTGGAAGGAGTAAGTAGGACTGCGACAGAAGTTGTGGCTCCCATCCACTTCATCGGAAAACGCCGAGAAGAATTCGAATACTCGGTCGAAAAATCTGGGAAGCAGGGCTAGCCAATGCTGACAGGGTGATCCGGATATGGTCACGTTCTTCCTCCCCATGTATTCTCCCCCCTTTTCCGTAAGCTTGCATTCAGGTGGTTCTACAAAACCAAAAAACAACGTTCAAACCATCAGGGAGACAATCAACATGCCTACATGGGCTCATAGGGACGCACTTGGGTCGTGGCAGAAAGGGATGCTGCAGTACTCCCACTGGATCCAGGGATCGGAGACGAAACACCAAGGTTTCTTTCTATACATTCCTGGGTTTCGACAGTAGTTCTTATGGAGAGACGAATCCATGTTCAGGAACTGGTGTGTGTAGCTCTCCACGAAGTTGAAATCCCACGGGGTACCATACGGTTGAGTGTCCCAAAAGAGGCAAGATTTTCCAGTCTTGGTGACGTTCTGAGTCCCCACGTATTCCTTCCCCTTCTGGGACAGTCGGCATTCTGGATACACGTTTTCCTTGGTTCCAGGTCGGAATTGTCGGAAATCGCAAAAGATGATGTCGCAATATTCGAATTTTAGACCATTCTCATCTCCGATCCAACACCAGGGAGCAATCGCTCTCCCGGAGTTCCGGCAGAAGTTGTGAGTTTCGTCTATCTCTTCTGAATCTGGGATTGACGGTCCGATATCTTTATCTTCATCTTCTGCGAGTTTCCAGGGCAGGCAAGGAAAACCCGAATGGGTGACATTTTGTCTTCCAATGTATTCACCCCCCTGTTGCGTCATCTTGCACTCTGGGGGATCTGTGAAACAATTTGAGGGGTAGTCATGAATTTATTGTCGAAACATAGTATCAAATGCGCCTATGTAATTGTGCCTAACGTATAATTTCCTAGATATTACCTCACCCAGATATTCTAAGTCGTTCTTAAAATGTTATGAGGCAAGTCCTGTGGTTGACATAATGGTCTTTTTGGCGCTGAGGTCATTTAAACACGCATCATTTCCTCTCTGAGACCTCTTATTCTTTAGTCGTTTTGTCTAATTGTTCGAGAAACTGATGTCAAATATTGATTCTTGTTTCACTATTGATTTTGTTCGCAATGGGTGTTCATGTCATAAGCATATACAGTACAAAGCAAATATCTCCCGCCTGAAAATCTCGTCATTCCATTTCATTCTTATACTATGACATTCTGGGAGGAGAATCATATCCTTCATCTCCGCCCTGAAGTAGAAGCCTGAGGCTGGAATAACTACAAAGGAATAATTACCTGTATTCGTGCAAATGGGAATGTCGCAGTATTCCCATTGAACAGGAGGATCGGAGACGAAACACAACGGTCTGGTTCTTCCAGACAGGGATAGTGTTCTCTTTACAGTGTGTTTGAACGAATTTAACTTTCACGATAGTAGAATAAATTCATCGTTAAATGTATATGGAAATCCTATAGACGACTTTCAGTCGGGGACCGTAACCACCTCATCAACGCCATATTTTAGTGATTAAAAAGTAGAATTAGATGCTCATATTTGTTTCAAATTCTACTCTCATTAATGCACATCATTTATTCATTTGCATGCAAAGCAAGACTTTTTCAGCGTGCAGGTTTTCACTGTTGCAAGAAAGGGTTAAAGCTTCAAAATAAAAACGTGCTTATCACAAGGCGAATCAGCGAAGAAGAGCTGCCAAAAAAAAAATAATTTTTTTTAAACCCTAACTTTAAACCCAGGACTGACGCTACACTGCCCAACAGTTTAATCTAAGTTACCTAATCTTTTATCTAATTTCCATGGAATTGAAATGATTTTTGCAATATTGATAGACTCACAAAAAATCAGTCCTGGAACTATATTACCACACCTCATACAAATGAACCATCTCACCTCTGAAAATCCCATCATTCCATTTCATGCTTAGACATTTTTAAAGACATTCTAGGCGGAGATACACATTCTTCATCTCCACCTCTTTAGTGGTCTCAAGCACGAGCCTGTGCCTGGAATAATTACAATGAAATAGTTACCTGTAATCGTGCACATGGGAATGTCGCAGTATTCCCATTGAACAGAAGGATCGGAGACGAAACACCAAGGACTGGCTCGACCAGATGGATTTCGGCAGTAGTTCCCATGAGACCAA